GGCGCGCAGCTCCTCAGTAATCGATTTCTGCAGGGCACTGTTTGCCTCCTGCAGATCTGCCTTCGTTGGCAATTTGCCCAGCAGAGCCATCCAGTCTCCTCTCCCCATGTAGGTGGTGGAGTGAGGTCCGTGGCCTCCAAATCATTAGAGGACTGGGAGGCAAGGTCCATCGGCGTAGTAAGGTACTGGCGGATTGATGGCGCTGGGACCCCCTTGGTGTGTCCGCCGACTTGGCGGCCGATGTTGCCTTGTGGGATTTCCCCATATCTTAATCTGACTTGGTGCTTGGCGAGGTTTAGGGCAGAACCGGCGGGGAGCTCACTGATTAAGCCGCCATTTTGCTCAGCGTCCCGGCCACGCCCCCAACAGAGGAATATTGACTGAGCTCATAGAGTAGTATTTATCTGTTCTTAATATTTTAGTATTTTAAAAACCTAACAAAAAATTCTAAAGTGCAAGACTTACTGGTTTCTTACAAAGGTGCAAATGCCTTCTGAAGAAGTTTTATTTATTTAGCAGTTTATTCTTAACCAAGGAGTTATTTATCGAGCTTATAGAGCTTGGAGTGCTTCTATAATATGCTTTTATAAAGGGTCATGTTTTAAACAGCTAGTAAACTCAAATGGCACCATTGATGTATGAAGGAAGTGGCTAACCCCCCCTGGATCCCTCTATATAGCTCCTCTCCAAAACATTAGACAAAATAAGCTTGTAGTCAAAACAGACCATTCCACAAAAAGAGTGATGGTCGAAATGATGTATATCTCAAACTCCATAACTGGCAGTGGTAAAGACTTTAGATGCAGAGAAGATAGGTAAACTGTCAGCATTGGTACATTCCGCTTTCAACAATATCACAAAACATGAGACTCATGGCTCTTTGACCCTCAGCTATTTGGACGAGTCTTCATGATCTATGAAACAGAAAAAAAGAACCACACTCAAATCTACCTAAAACCACGTGCACCGAAGCAGGACAAGCAAATCCAAAACACGTGTAGCAGAACAGAGGGAAAAAAAAATCTTCAGGCACTCATGGAACTAAAGCCACAGGCAGATTTATTGAATCAAGAAGGGCAAAGCAACGTTTCAACCAATTAGGCCCTCTCAGTAGGTTTAAATGTTGCTTTGTCCTTTTTGATCCAATAAATCTGCCTGTGGCTTTAGCTCTGGGAATGCCTGAAGATTATTTCCTGTGTTCTACCACAATAATCTATAACCCATCATTTAAAAAAAAAAAATTCTTATGCGCGGTCTATCACACTCATTGATTTCACTTTTACTCTCCTCTCTATACCTTCACTTCCTTTACTCATGAACTTGTTTTAGATCTTTCATTGTTAGATGTCCTTTAAATATCTTACCTGCCATAGACAACCCTTACCAATGCTTGTATTCTTTTAGGCAATTTTGGTTTATAAATTTCTGTCCACTTTGAACTACAGTCAATTCACCCTATTCGAACAGCTGCATCATCGGTAATTCTAGAAAAAGGTATTCGCAAAAAATTCTAAATTGTACCAAATTAAAATCCAAATTACAAAATTTAGACAAGTTTAATGAAATTTAACAGGTTTCCATGATCACCTAGTTGTTTCTCAGGTTTGTAAATCATATTTTAATTTATTACGGTCTGGATATTAATAATTAACCTAAAACCTGAAAAAAACCTTACCATTTATTATATGCTTTAATAGATTTCCAGGCCCCTTAACTGGAACGCTGAACTTTGCCTTTCACAGTCCTCATCTGACAGCGCCCTGGGCCATTGTTTTCTTATGAGTAATTATAAAAGTATTTAAGTAACATACACAATCTGGCAATTGCCTTTAGGTAATGTGCTTTTATTTCTTTCATGTTTACATTTGTAAGTCTAATTACATATCTACTCTACCTCAATTTAGCTGTTTAATCTGGCTAAGCAAGGGCACACACACCTATCTAGATTCTACTTCCTCTAGAGCAGTCGTGCCCAAAAGGTCCCCAGATGTTTTAAACTACATCTTCCATTCTAAAGACATGCAAAGCATCATGGGAGATGTAGTCCTACAATAACTGGGGATTTGCTCTTTAGGCAACTCTGCTCTAGATTTACCTTTTGCATGAGGCATTCAGGATACCCCCACTATTAAAAGTTTTAAATATCCTATTCACTCTCTAGATTTATTTGCTCACTGTATGCCATTGGGGCATTTTTAACCCCCTCCCTCATTGTTGGGAGGATAAAGCAGCTATCTACTGAAAAGTTACTACGGTTTTCACAAGGAAGCATTAGACCAGGCAGCTTAAATGCCAACACCCAAGATATTGAAGTACCCTGATTTTCTGTCAACCTACACCAGTCATAGAATTTTGGGAGCCGTAGGCCACAAATATCTGGGGGACCAGACTCGAGAACCCTGCATTCGACTAATAATTCCCTACGGGATCTCAGACTCTTGAACAATTATTTAAGTGGAGTGAATCTTGTGGTTTCTTGGTTTTTGAAGTCTCCGATTTTCAAAAAGAAAGTAAAAAATAAATCAAATTTAAAAGAAAAGTGAGGGTTAGAGACTACTACTGTACAGAAAATGCAGTAGATACCTTGCATATCTTCTGAGCAGAAAAGTGGTAAATTAAAAAATATTTCATGGACCAATCTAGGATTTTAATAAATTACTTTGATGCCAATTATTTTAATATTGCTTTTTTTTTTTCCGTTAAACAAATGCACTTGGGGGGCAGAGCTCGGAACCTGAGCTGAATGGACGCCATATCCATTCACTCCTGAAACGGCTGCTAACAATCTACAATTATCTCAGCACTAATGAACCATCCGGCCCTAAAACTACCAGAACCGGAACTCTTGCCTGCATCGTTAGATGCCGTTCTTCCAAAGCCCGAAGATTGGGAGACCGAAACGCAAGACCCGGGCCGACTTACCAGCAGCTTACCACAACCTGGATTTCCTCCCCGGCGGGAATCTTGAGCAGTGCTGCCTAGACAGAACGAGGAGACCTACCACTCCCGGTGACAAGACTCCAGTAAATATGGGGCGGCGCACGCAAAAATCGCAACTAAGCCCCTCAGCTGAGCACCCAGATATTGGAGCCATGCTCCAGCTGCAGCCAAAGATGGCCGCCGCAGTGGCCCCAGCCACACAACCACTACCCCATCCAGGGGCCCAACCTCCCACTCAGCCCAGACCACACACTCTGCAAGTCCAATTGCCATCACTAGTGACCCCTGATGACAACTCACTGGCAACCAAAAGGGACTTACAAAACTGGGTACAAGACATTCAGAAAATGATCTCGGCTGACATATGGATCCTCAGGACTGACATGCAAAATAGAACAGATCGCGTCAGGACGACAGAAGAGGATATAATAGACATCCACAACAGTATGTCCATTATGAAGGACCACATGCAACACTTACACACAGCGCAACAAGTACTCACGCTGCAGATGACCACCCAGGAAGATCGCGCACGACGCAACGACATTAAAATCCGTGGCATCCCAGGTGACATAACAGCGGACGAACTGCCACACTATATAAAGGAGACTCCTGGCTACTATAGTGCCCCCGGCTGCGGCCCGGAAAATCACCCTGGATGGGATATATCGTTTCCCAACTCCACCTAATGCACCCGCCAAAAATGCCAGAGACGTAATCCTCCGCTGCACCACCTCTCACGACAAGACCCAAATCATGTCAGCGCTCCGAGGTAAAACACCTCTCACATTTAAGAGCTCACAATTTCTCTTCTTCCAGGACTTAACTCGAGCCACGCTCCAGTGGCACAAGTCTCTGAGCCACCTTACCAACCAGCTACGCGACATAGGGATACCATACCACTATAATCCTCCTCACAGTAACCCAAGCCGGAAAAGTCCACAAGATCTCTGATGGGACAGAAGTACCAGCTCTGCTGACCAAACTGGGACTTACACCCACATCCACAGAGGTACCGCAGCAGACCACCTCCTGGAACCCAGATAACTCAGTGCCCTTCGTCCCACGGACAACAGCATCTCTAGCCCCAGCCACATGACTGGACTCAAAATCGACCAAACCTATGGCTGCAATGAGAACTGTTGTGCAGTTTATACAAGCTCATGTTATGTGTTTTTATTTTATTTTCTTTCAATCACTCGTTGCCACATGCTCAAATTAAGGGAGGCCATGATAGAACCTAGGCCCTCAGAGGTAACATTACTGATCATCCTGAGCAAACCTCACCCACCCTATGGAGCCAACCTCGCAAACACACCAAGCAGCTGAACACATAAATAAATAAGTACATCGCAGATAAATACTTCGTAAACCCCCGCCAGCCCCTTGGTATGGGGTAACTAAAACCCACACACCTGTACTAGACACCACACAAAGAGTGCCAACAAACCTGGGAACACCTAAACAGGTACACGTGGGTCCAATCACACAAGAGAGACCATACAGAACACCTAAATCCCGCATAGAACTTCAGGGACACACAGTAAGCATCTCCTGGACACAAACAGCCAAAGGGACCCACCTCACACCCGAATCACAATCAAACACCTCGACACCCACCCTGAAATACACAGCAACATATTAACATAAGGGGACACAACAGTGCCCACACACTAGATGGGCCTCTTCTTAATTTGTTAGTTTACCTTGTTCACTTAAAAGTTTAACATGCACTGGCGTACTGTGGAATGAACCTCATGACTGCCTAACGCTACGTTTATCTAATCAGATTCGCTGATGATCTTGTAGCCCACTCTCATAAAAAGAGGCTAAATTGTTTATGTATGAAAAAATGTCCAATATTGCACTGTTACCACTAATAAATATATATATATATATATATATATATATTTCTCATGTACTGTACGTATCTAAGATCATTATGTTAACTCGTATGCCTCAAAAATAAAAAAAGAGATTTTAAAAAAACAAAGCAAAACAAAAAATATAGGTATTGCATCTTAATTTCTACTGTAAATGAACCACTGCAAACAAAAAAAGAAATTAAATTGTCCCCAAGCTTTTATTTACATAGAGCAAAAAAAAGATATTTCACAACAAACTCCCCGAAGACAGTAACGATTTTAAAATAATTACATGGAAACATTATTTTACACATTTGAAAATAGGTGAATTGTGAGAGGTGGATACGGGTAAATTTGTGAAAATGTAAACTGTAGCTGCACTCTGGGTGAAGACACATTCAAACTTTCTGTTTTACAATGACCTCAACCCACGGCAGGACAAAGCACTGCAGACCCCTGTGTCACTGAATGGGAATTAGGAAGGCCCTCTCCGAAATGCTTCAAACTTGTAAATATAAACTAAAAATGTTGCTCTCAATTAACTTTGTCACAATTTAATGTAACTCCCCCCCAAAAAAACAAGAAACACACTTCCTGTTTATTAATACAGACATGTATAAGGGCATGTATGTGCTTGATGTCGGGCTTGGAAACAGGAGTTTAACATCTACTTAAAGTGTTCAGTGTTAAACAGAAAGCTTGCAAGAATAAAATAACCAAAAGCCATTTTCACGGCATAACAGTATAAAGCAACACGGGAACCGAAGGTGGGCAGCAGAAGGAAAACAATACAACTCTAAACAACGCAACCAGTTAAGAGTTAAAGATTGGCATTTTGGGTAAGAATAATAAAACTGGTGGTCACAGGTGCTTCTAGCAATAGGTGAAAGCACAAAGACGTAAAATTCTCTAAGAACCAAAGACTCAAAAATTCTATGGAGACAATGGGTAGCCATTCGAAAGTTAAAATCACGTCCCAGAAAAAGAAACTATATGTACAAAAATAATTGTACGGCATGGAAGTCCCTTATTGCCCCAGTTTGGCTCACTCAGAGATCTGTCACAGCAGGAAGCATCTCAACTGCATAAAAATATGGGAAAGACAAAGTCATTTGCCCATAGCACAGTGACAGTGGGGTCTGCAATACAGTATACTTAGTAGAGGTTAGAAACAGAGGCAGCATTAATGGGTTTCATACATTTTAATTTGCAGTGCATTAACATCTGTATAAAAAAAAAAAAAAAAAAAATATATGTACAAAGGTTTCACAAGATGGGGGTTCTCCGGCTTATTTGCGAGATGTCCGATGCGGCGTCTGCTTCTTCTGCATTTCTATCCGGCAACGGCTGCGCTCATCCAGCCACGGGAGCTCAAAGTTCCTATTTTGGAAAAAAGTGGAGGTGATAAATTACAAAGATTGCGCAAGGCGATTGTCTCCTGACCCTAAATCTTATTTCAGGTAATGGAATCGAACCGTATTACAACTATTTGGTGAAGAAATTAGGCATCAGAGATCTCTACAGGATGGATGAAATTTCTTTGCACTTTATGTATGTCTTGCCTCAGTAAATGTGTGATACATGGCGGTTTGTGTGCAGTAGAGATTTAAGTGAGTGCACCTGGATTATGTTATAGACAAACATAGATTTATACCCTTTTACAGAATTTTCTTAATGGGAAACCAGTGATAGGCTGAGAATGCCAGCTGTTGCTCTCAGCCTGTAACCGGCGTTCAAGTGAAAGGTTTACGCAATAAATTTGGGTCCAGAGGACTTTGTGTTTAAACTGTTTGACAACGGTTTAACCCCACAAGGCGAGACGGCGCCCAGGATCTCCAGACACCATAACTGGCTTCTCAGAGATAAGAAATGCGTGCATTATTTTGTTGTACTGGTTTTAGTTTACATTTCCTGCATTTACTTTGTCTCTAAGTGCTGAATGTTTTTACCAAAATATTTATCTACCATATATCATTTGAGTCAGAGAACTTTATCACACTTTTTGTACTTACTGTGGGGTTATTTTTGGCAGAGGACGTCCAAATACCACAACTGGGAGGTAGGGGGTAAGCATTATGGATTCCACTGTGGAGAGAGAAACCGATAGTTAGAGGGCACGCATCAGAGAAATACTATTGTGGTCCACACACCAACACAAACAGAAGGGACAGAGATGTCATGGGAAGTACATATCCCTACCTGGCAATCATACTTTTTTCCACTCGCAGCACTGGTCTTCTCAGTGAAGCTTTGTCTCTTGAGATTGGGGATCTCTGCCAATCCAATGCTTTTCTTTAAGAAAGCACTGAGGCTAGAGCACATGCTGTGCTGCGCCAATCCGATTAGCTCTGACAATTTCGAGTTTTAATAGAGTTTCTCTGCTATTTTATGGACGCACCTCTAGCACTAGAGGTAGGTTAACCATGCAAAGAAAACATTTCTGAAGATTGAGATGAAGTGGTCTGGGTGCCCATTGAGTCCCTTTATTTGTCCTGTTTAAGCTGTGCTTAAGATACAAATATTACTGAGATCTTCCCATCTCAGTTTATAGTATAGGGACATAATTAAAGTAATTAAGCTATTGTAGTGAGGATTGTTAGAGAAAGAGAAACCTAAGAAATTAACCCCTAAGGACACAACTTCAGAAATAAAAAGCAATCATGGCTGAAATGTACTTAAGGGGTTAAAAAGTGTGTTGTGTTTTTTGTGGGTGGAAGATTTCCTTTATCCTAACTTATTTGAACTCTGATGAGGATTTCTCAAAACCAGACAATCAGTTTTAGAAACCTTATCCAAACCAAGGCTGATACAACATCCTCTATCGATATTATTGAGGACACTTCCAACATGTACATTGAAATCATACTTTGGTATAAGTTAACTTTCTTATATGACATATTCTAAGTATGTACTCAGCTTAGACACAGATCAGTAAGGGCTGCGTTGCTGACATCACTCTGCCCTATGTCCAATCTATCCTGTTACAATACTCCCTTTAGCACGGCTTTGAAATACTACACAGATAATACAAACACTGTGCAGCACTGACCCAGGAAGCACCTCTTGTAGCCATCTAAGGAGTGGCTAATGGAGCAATCCCTAGGCTGTAATGTACATACGGCAGTTTCTCTGAAAAAAAAAAAAAACACAAAAAAACAAAAACAGTGTTTACTGCAAAAAGCCTGAAGGGACCGATTATACTCACCAGATATACTCAACAAATCTAATAAGCTGTACTTGTTCTGGTGACTATAGTGTCCCTTTTAAGTAAACTTTAGATATTTTTGTTGTCCTTGATTGTATTTGTAATACATTATAAAGGAAAAATGTAAATAAAGAGAAATAAAAAAAAATAAAAAAAAGTAAACTTTAGATTTTGACACACTCACCATCTTCAAGCTCTGGGAAGAAGGAGGTAACTTCCGGCTCGCTTTCTTGACTGCCCTTCTTCTTGTACATCCTGAGCTGCAGTCTCTGTAAGATCCTCTGCTCTCGGATTCTCTGTATGTCCCACCTGCACCAAGCACAAACAATAATAAGACTACAGAACCCTTTAAAAAAACTATCCCAACAGCAGAGCATCTTGCAAGGTGTGACTTCTTACCTCTTCCTCCTTTTTTCATCCAGCTCTAACTTGGCATGTCTTTTTGCAAATACTGCATCATCAAGGTTCTGACAATAAACAGGAAACATTTGTTGGAGTTTTTTTTTTTTTTTTTTTATATATATATAAATTCAAGGTTTTCATCATCTTACAAGCCATAGTAATTACGTGGGCTTTCACGAAAAAAAAAAAAATACATTATACGGAAGAATGTACTGGGAAGGTCTCCGAACGTATCTCAAGCTTTTATTGTGTGGACTGTAGATACACCCCAGGAATACTCAAAACAAGTGATATGGGTGTGCTTTAACTGAAATCACACAAATTCAGGGATGGTAATAAAATGGGTCATAACTAAGCCCAGAGCAACATCTGTTTACAGAGAACAGTCTTACACTCTGTATTGGTTTGAAGAATACCAGGAGCTCAATAGTGATGGACATCGAGAGAAACCAATGACTCATTGTCCGTTTATTAAACCAGCCTTACAGCTGTTATTTTCAACGTACATTTTTTCTGGTATCCTAACGAACATTTCACTACATCCCACCTACATAGAACACTTCATAACCCTTAAACAAATATCTTGTCTTAAAGAAACACAATAGCGGTAGGAATACAAATATGTTTGGGTGACTGAAACAGCAGTGCCAGGGAAAAAAATAAAAAAACTATTTAGTTGACGTCTCTTTTCTCCCTCTCAGCGCCAGTCTCTTTGGTGAAGCTTTGTCTCTTTGACCGAAATCATCAAGAGTGATGATCTGTCAATTCAATACTTTCCCATAGAAAAGCAATGAAAGGCTGGTGCGCATGGGCAGCAAAACACCACACTGCACCAATCAGATGGGCTTTTTGAGATCATCTGATTGAAATAGAGTTTTACTCTGCTATTTTTACCGAAGCGCCGCTTTTGGCTTTATGACAGCCATTAGTGGCAGCTTAACCCGTTACAGAAAGAATTGCTGTTTTACAGCTGCAGGGTTAAAATGGTGGGCACGTGGCACCCAGATCACTTGTAGTAGTTTAGAGGACTCCCGTTAAAGAAGCATCACAATTTCTAGATAGAGAGACTGGCTATGACTCCTGTAGATTCCACACAAGAAAACAAATAAGATCTAATCTTAGATGTCAAACACCATGAACCAGCCACAGCACCATAACTACTTATCTTACCTCTGGGACGTCAGAAGCACTCAGGTCCTGCAGAGGTTCAATAGGATGCTCTCTCCACGAAGGGACTAAAAGAGAGTAAATTAAAATAAACCTCATGTCACATGCCTAGCTCCAATATTAGCTATGCGGTGAGGACTTTATACTGCTTGGATAAAGTGCCCTTAATGTTTAAGTTAGAATAAAAAAAAATGCTAAATGTAGAACCAGTCTATGAAATAGGTCGTCAAAAATTACAAGACTCGAAAGAAACACTGTGGCTGGTTTTTAGGCATTTTTGCCAAAATGTGGTAATTTTAAACACCTATTAATCTAAACTCTCACTATTATTATTATTGCCATTTATATAGCGCCAACAGATTCTCTAGCGCTTTACAATACTAAGAGGGGGGTGTGGCGTTTAACTATAAATAGGACAATTACAGGAATGATAGGTTGAAGAGGACCCTGCTCAAAACAAGCTTACAGTCACTACAGCTCTATTGTTATAACAAAAAACCCTCCCCAGAAATTCGACTTTCCCCACATTAGCCTTTTCTTAAAACCTCTCCCTTAAACGTCACTTACAATTTCACAAGTTCTTCCTAGAACTGATGCTATAGCTCTATGAAGTGGTTCCCTATAGTTCCTCCCTACTGCTAGGTGCTGAGAAAGGGCATTGCCCTGGCACCCAAGGCACTGCGTATTTTGCTAAACACGCCACTAGGCATTTCACCTTAACTATAATAATAAAGAAAAGGCTTGAAAGAGCAGCTGTTGATTCCACCCACACCCTATTGAATCTGGTCATCTGTGTGTGCAGAAATGATCGCTCCAGGAATACAATGGTCTGGTTTTGTCTATGCACTCTGATTGCAGCTGTGGTCAAACTGGCTTGCAACACTAAAATTAAATGTCAGCTTCATATAAAGCATCATTTAACACACATTCACATCCCAGACAAGTCAGCTGACCTATTGTCCCCTTTGATTTCTCAGAGTGCAGCAGTGCCAAAGATTCTGGAGCAGAAGTCCTGGCAACAGAATATTCACTGTATACTTAGACCTGTCGTGCAAACAAGTCTGAGTCTTCCCGAATGTGCTTAGTATATTGTGAGCTTACTTTACCTACAGGTGAAACATTTTCTAGGATTTCCTCACGTGTCATAATGTATATTGTGTATGTTACTTTATAAAACAGATCTATTTTTGAGCACTTGTGCCCATTTATAAAGGGGGGAGGATGAAATTAGGCCTGTACTAGGCACTTCAAGTAGAGAAAAGTAATGGATTTTTTTTTTAATAAATATTATACATACATACATACATACATGTTGATCAGTCAAATATACACTGATCAGCCACAACATTAAAATCATCTGGCTAATATCGTGTAGGCCCCCCACCTGTTGCCAAAACAGCTCTGATGCATTGAGGTATGGACTCTGAACGTGTCCTGTGGTATCTAGCACAAGATCATTTAAGTCCTGCAAGTTGAGATGTGGGGCCTCCGTGGATCAGAATTGTTGTGCCAGCACAATCAATCGGATAAAATCTGGTGAATTTGGAAGCCAAGGTAACACTATCATGTCCCTCAAAACATTCCTTAACAATTGTTCATAGTGACATGGTGCATTATCATGCTGAAAGAGCCCACTGCCATCTGGGAACACCACATGAATGCCAAGACCCGAGGTTTCCCAGCAGAACTTTGCCCTGAGCATAACACTGCCTTCACTGGCCTACCGTCTTCCCATGGTGCATCCTGCTGTCATCTCTTCCCCAGATAAACGATGCACATACACCCGGCTAGCCACCTGATCTAAAAGAATTCTGGATTCATCAGACAAGGCAACACTTCTTCCATTGCTCCATGGTCCAGTTTTGACACTCACTTCCCCATTAAAGGCGCTTTCGGTGACAGGGGTCATTATGGGCACAATGAATTGCCTGCGGCTATGCAGTCCCATACCCAGCAATCAGTAATGCACTGTGTGTTCTGACACCTTTCTACCACGGTTAGCATTATATTTTTCAGCAATCGGAGCTAGAATAGCTGTGTGATTGAACCAGAAGGGCTAGTCTTCGCTCCACATGTGCATCAATGGCCCTGACGGCTGTTCACCGGTTGTCCTTCCTTGCACCACTTTTGGTAGCTACTAACTACTGCATACTGGGAACACCCCAAAAGACTTGTCGTTTTGGAGATCTTCTCACCCAGTCATCTAGCAATCCCTATATTGCCCTTTGTCAAAGTCACTCAGATCTTCTCGCTTGCCCATTGTTCCTACTTCCAACACTTTAAATACAAGAACAGACTGTTCACTTGGTGCCGAATATATCCCACCCCTTGATCTCAGGTTTTAATGTAGTAGCTGATCAGCAAAATATAGACACACGCAACTGAAAAATTAGCCCTGGTAAGTAGACTTTTACACTTGGAGATTGTGCCATTGGCCAACCAGGCTTGCAGTGGTGAGTAGTTTGAAACCCAGCAAGTAGAACAGGAACTGTGTTTTGGGGTTTTATTCTCTCTCTCTCTCTCTCTCTCTCTCTCTCCTGGTTTAATTCTACTGGATTGTAAATCTCCCTAGCACATCCTAACAATGGGAAATTTAAATGGAAAACAATTCTTCCAAACCCTTCCTATATTTTGCATGCACAAAAAAGAACAGGAAAAAAAAAAAAAAAAAAAAATTGGTCCACTTAAAAGCCATTCTATGTTTCCACTTTAGCACTGTACACAGATAGTGTATGCAGCACAGTTTACATTGCGTGCATCTGTGATTTGCTTTTAGGGACAGTGCTCACATTGCAGACATAAACAGGACAATCGGAGGGCTGTGACACACCACAAATCATTCAGAAATACACAGAGTGGTAAAAAAAAAAAAATAATGCCTTGAAAGAAGCTTTTCCAATCAGTGTAGTCATGCATGCCTACTAATGGAACGTTCTACCATGTGACAGCCCAAAACCCAAAGGCAGAGCAACTGCACTAAGAAGTAGAGAAATATAAACTTAAAGGGATAAATAACTAAATCCACAGCCCTAAAATATATGTAAAGTCATGCGCCAACTTTAGTAAATATAAAATTTATTTTGGAGACACTCAAATATTTGCGAATTAGCCAATATTTAGATGGCTGAAAAGAAAGTATTTTAAACTGGAACTCCCATGAATTTATGCTCCGTAATGTTTCTACATCATTTCACCTCCAGCTAGATTCTGATTTGATTGTTGGCGTTTCCTACCAAAAAAATTTTTTTATTTTTTTTATATCTGTCTTACATAAACAATGTACAATTCGTGTCTATTTACATTAAATATGAGCACTAAAATGTTATGTAAGATTTGCTAATTTCTGGTTCCCAATGTATATTTATGCCTATAACAGGTGGGCCTGGGTCTAGAGCCGTTTGATCACTTTTTATTATTCATATAATATTTTTACACCTTGTTGCTGCTTCTCTGTGCAAATCACTAGGAGGCCAGACCCACTGCTGCCCTCTAGTGTAGTTAAGTGATATATTTAAACATAAATAAATGTGCCAGGCAGCTAATGGTTACCACTGCACCAACACCAAGAGTCAGCCGCTCGGTTAACGATTTAGTAACTTCTTGAATTATAGTGAAATAAGGTTATATTCCAGCAAACCCAAAATGTTACTGTTGACACGGATGAGCTGGAAATAGAGTAAGACAGGAGAGAATGTGTGTGTTGCTATTTGAATATGTATGTGAGCAGATTTTTATGTGCATATGAATGTGGCTTGTTAATATTGGTGTGAGTAGCCTGTATTGCAATTGTAATTAAAAAAATGTTTTTGTTTTTTTTAAATGTATGCCCATAATTTCTAATAGCCTATTTCATTGAATATTTGAGTGTTACAAACTTGTATTCCTATAGCGTTAGTGTCATTGCCCCTTTTTATAGAGGTGTCCCCCTGTGTGCGTGATAAAAATAATAAAGTGATTTTTAATACCTTTTTCCCCAAACGCTGAGGCTCCTTCTCTGTCTTATATGACCTCTTGGAGGAAGCATAGCCTCCTCCATCGTAGGTCCAATCCAAAGCTCCTCAGAGGAGCACTGGAGACCTGATGCATATGTATGGCGAGTGCCATGTGCACATCCAAGCTTCCCTATATGGAATCAATGCTCTCCTATCGAGACTTCCGCAGAGGTGAGTTTTGCTTGGTCAGTGCTGCAGAAGCACCTCTAATGGCGGCTTTCAGAGGTGTATTTAACCACTGCAATGTATTACATGGATACTGCACCTAAACCACCTCATTAAGATAAAGTGGTAAGGGTGACTTTAGTGATCCTTTAAATGAATGGATCGCTCATTCTTAATCAGACTGTGAAAATACTATAGTGCAAGTTCTGTGATATGATGCGTTTCCTTGAGTCCGGTGGAAAGCACCGAGTAGCTTTACCATGAAGTGTAGTCTGGCAAGTTGCTATAGTGTAGTCTGTAAAATCACATGGTCATTACACCGATAGAATGCAGTGCATGCCATCGCTGTGAGACCACACTCCCTGGTGCAGCACAGTGAAATAGCAACAAGCTATGTGAAAAACATATTAGGTAACATTGACAAAGGGTGTAAAACATTTCCCTCGGTTAGAAAAAAAAATGGTAAACAAAGCTAGGCAAACAAATGTTCAGCCTGACTTTTAAGAGTCAATGCACGTCAACAGATAACAGAAATGCACAAATATTGCAGGTTTCTTGGTAAATAAAGGTTATAAAAAACAATTTTTTTTAAAATTAATTTTTTCTTCTAAAATTTCCCTCCCTTTGCATTCTGGAAAACCAACCCCATATCAAAACGACAAAAGCTTGGGTGGTTTCTTACTTGCCACACTCTCTTCTTTTTTGGGGGATGGCTCCCTCAGTGGGGATGGAGGTGGCTGATGCCAACGGCTGAGATACATGTCCGTGGTGCAAAGGTAGGGAAGGGACTCTGCCTCACTAGGGTGTGGGTTGCTGTCCTTTAGCAAGTGAGATACAGAGCTACCCCATGAAGGTCTTAGGGGAGTGTCCACAGGAGAATGTGATTTTTCTGGGGTCTCCTTGCTGCGTAGTTCCCGTTGGCATGCAGACTCAGACAGGGAGCCCCCTGGTTCAGCATCCTCTTCCTGTGTCAGAGTCATTGGGGTCTTGCCCTTCATTTTCGCAAAGTGTGACGTCAATCTTTTGACTGACGTCCTGTGCTCAGAAGTACTGAAAGCAGATTTCCTGTTAGGGTACAAAGACAGCCCATCAAATTAATGAAAATGCAACAACATCAAACAAAAGAAAAAAAAAAGTATAGTGCCAGATGCTTCTTATCCCCATCTTCCCTTACCCATCTATTTCACATAAATCTCAACCTCATAGACAGAAACTTGTGTTTTACAGAAATCTGTCCAGCTACTATATATGCACACTGGGCGAGCACAGGCTATAAACGTACCAACCTAAACAGAATCCATTTTCAGCCACCTGGAGCACAGCCGTGTAGTCACATCAGTGTCACCATTCATAAAGCTATAGACGGAGCAACCAGTAATCAGGTTATGCAGCCCTTTCCATTCACATTTTGATGAATGGAATTTTTGTTGCGTGTCTATGATACTTAAATCTCATGTCCATTGAAAATGAGAACAGCATTGCTTAATATTTAGGGGTAAAGGGGAAAAATTTTATTCAGTTTCCAAATTGCTGCACTGATTACTAAAAGACTATTTCCCCATTTACCTGTAGTTGTGCCATGGGTAGCAAATACGTCACCAGTCACTGACTGAACAGAAAAATGAGGAGAAATATTGAAATCCATATATCTTTACACAATGCAATCTCTACATATAATAAAGGAATGCACTTTTACATCAACTGTTTATTATTTTTCATTACTCTCAGGACTTGTATTTTATAAATTTACATACAAGTTTACATCAACAAAATAAAAAACAACATTTTGGACCCCACCTGGGCCTTTACCAAGATAAACCAATACTGTGCAATGTGTCTTATATAGAGAATTTAGAAATCCTACTCACCAATAACCAACCTGGTATATGATCTGCGCATATGGAGACGCAATACAGTGACGTGCGTGACCGGCGTCTGTGATGCCATAGAAGCCATATGTGTGAAGATACTAAAGCAAAACATTCGTATCTTACTATATATTAATCTGTAAAATTGTTGTCCAAACTAAACTCATTAAAAACTTAATGAATTGAAATCCATGAATCCTAACTAGACTATCTAGCCGTCTTTTGTTATGTAATCTATGAATAAATTAATTTTGTGAAATTTACACGTCGTTAGATTTTTAAATTGTTTAATTCGGGCAACAGTTTTACTAGCTTACTGTATAGTAAGATATGAATGTTCCACATTAGTATCTTCACATATGGTTTCTATGGCATCACAGACGCTGGTCACACACACATGGTGTTTTCCAGCAAATTGAGTCTCCACATGCTCAGATCACATACCGGGTCAGTTATTGGTAAGTAGAATTCTAATTTTTATATATATATATATATACACACACACACACACACTGTATTGGACTACTTTGATAAAGGCCCAGTTGGGGCTGAAACGTCGATGTATATTTTATCTTTTTGTTTTTGTTTTTTTATTTTAGTTTTACAAACCTCTTGTGTCCTTTCGCATTGCGGCCATAAGAAAAAGGTTTCGGAATATGGCCACTCAAGCAAGGAGTGTCCTCAGGGGGAAATTCCCCACCCCCTGCACTCTCTGGGAGAGGACCTTCTGGCATGTCGCCGTCCGGTTCGCGGCTCTGAGACGTGCGCTGTTTGTCTTTCTCACTATCCTTTCTCACCAGCTGCATGCGCCTTTCCATCCGCTCAATGCGGGCCAGGAGCTGGATGTTGGAAAGAAGATGGACACAATGAGGAAAGCAGTATGAGATGGGTACAGGGTAATGTCTGTATACCAGTACTGAGCAAAACTGTGTTGTGGAAACATACAGGAAAGAGAGGGATGTTCATCTACTGAATACGTGGAATTAAATCTGTACTACCAACAAATTAAGAGATCTTCGTTTATCAACACCTCAACATTACACTTAAGCAAGACTTAAGAGTTCTTAAAAGGAAACAGCAAAATAGATGCACTTACTGGTTTGCCCCATATTCATGCTTCTCCTACTGTATGAAGGGGTTTGACCATGCACACATTCATTTACTACACATCATACATTGGTGCCTTTAAAGGAGTGCCAATACAAACAACGGATGAAGATCAAATTGGAGAATCTTCACGCAGGACATTCCTGTAGTATTTGTCAGTGGGCCTGTAAAGCCTGACCTCCTACTTATGTGTTTCAAAAGTTGGGGGGAAATATTTGATCACTATACAAAACACACATGATGTAAATGCAGAGCAAAGTAAAAAACAAAACAAAAAAAACCAAACAAACAACAACAAAAAATATAGGGAAGAAAGAAAAGTTTGAGGGGGAAGAGAAAGTAAGTGAGAGGGGAAAAAAGGGAAAGGAAGAGAGGAAGGGATAAGACAAACACACAGTGCAGATTTTACAGCCACATTCAGCCTGCATTGCACCAAATCAGTGTGTGAGACAGACACCTCTATAATAGCCAGGAGACCTGCTGGGGATAGAGGGATCTCAACCACCACCTCTAATGGGCGCCAAACAGAATACATAGACAAGGGGTGGTATTATTATTATTATTATTAACGGCATTTAAATAACGCCAACATATTCCGCTGCGCTTTACAATAATGTCATGGGGAGAATCTAACAATAAATGAGAAATCAGAACGTTACAGGAACAATAGCTTGATAAAGACACTGCTCAAACGGGCTTACACTCTAGAGGTATAAAAGCAAACATTTAGATTGTATAAAATATGCAAAATAAACCATGAGGGGTTAAGCATACAAATAAAACCTGCTCAAATGCCTAGAATCCATTTGGCGCACTAGTGTTTTAACCATTTCAATGCTAAAGGCCTGTATCTATGTGCTCTATAAACTTCTGGAGACAGAAGGGTTAACAGAGAATGTTAAAGGGGGCTGTTAATCCCTGCACTACCACTAAAGAGCTGTGGTCATTTTAACAATACAGACACCCTCTGAATTTCATATTCTCCAGCAAACTAGCAGATGCCATTGACCCTTAACACTCCTGCAAAACCGGACAGAGTCCACCCTCCTGCGGGTTCCCAAAATAAATATAAAACCAGAAAATCCCTACCACCCCCCCTTACTTTTAACAAACCTTAAATCCATGGTATCTCCCCTCCATTCCGTTGCCATGGCAGCCCATTTAAACCTCCCTCCCTTCCTCCAATGCCATGATGGTCCTGTGTGATTCTCATGAATGTGCATGCTGGAGAAAAGGGGAGGGGGTGAAAAGATGTAGAGAAGGGGGAGGGGAGCGAGTGTGTGGGGGGAGAGATGGGGAAGGGAGGGGGCATTACCTCAGCCTGTGTGGTTCCTTCCTATGGAGGGCTGGGGAGGGAGATCTCCTAGCATTACTGCATATAAGCACTAGCTCTCACAGCCACACTCCATATCTCCCTCTCATGCCTTCGTTTTATTTCACTCACTTTCCACTATAAATCCACCTCTCTCTCACACACACACACACACACACACACACACACACAAAAGTATACACTATGGTCTCCCTCCCCCCCAGCCTAGCCGCAAGATATATAGCAGTACCAACAGTATACCAGGAGAGATACAAATGTGTGTTGGGGATATAAAAGTCTGTGAAATGATGGGGTATTCAAGTTACAGAGTTTGTTTGTTAATGTTGCAGAGCAAGTAAAAAATTGGGGATTTAAATTCTATTTGATGCATGCTGTGGGTAGCTAGTCTACCAAATGCGATTTAATAAGCACATTTACAGTTCGCCGTTTATTTCTTATCAAAATATGCTTCACATCTAAATGCAAGCAGGGCCTTACTAAGTTAACAGAAGAAAAAATTATTAAAGCCTGGTATGGAAGGGATAAAAAAAAAAAAAAAAATATATATATATATATATATATATATATATATAATAAAAAAAAAATAAAAAAAAAGTATAAAAGATTGTGTTTGTTATTTTAAAGTAAGAATTTCACAATTAGGTTGATACATGTTTTAAACACAGTTGCAGATCACGTGTATACCTGAGGAGGCCTAAAAATGAGTAAGTCACATTAATTTTTTTCCCCCCCAAAACCGGCTAAAGAAAACAAATCAATATCTCCTTAACGATTTAAGCACATAATTTATGCTTTAAGGGGTGTAACAAATAGTTTACAAGAGTTACACAACCCACGCTTGAACGTGAAATTCATGTGAGCTGGGGGAAGGCACAGAGAGTACACTAGAAGCTGGGTGGAGGCCTAGTGTAGAGTATACTGTAGCTTTAACAAGGCAGGCCATTTTAAAAAGAGACTTTGTATGTCAAACAGATAAAGTGCTAACCATCTCCCCCCCCAGTTAATGTGTACAACTGGTCTGATAAAATAATAATCATCAGACTAACTAGCCTGTTACTTAAGTCAATAATGTACAAACAACCACATAACATGTGTAGTCATACATCCTTTACTGGCTTAGTTATTACATCAGGAAAGCTTATTAGGCTATTGATTAATCAGACCTGAATTAAAACAACTTTATTAACCCAGTCAACATAAGAAAGTAAATAACCTATATAATTTCTGTGTATAACAATGTAAATTTAGCTCTCAAAAATAGATGAACACCACAAGATCCTAAATGTTGTAGATTTTATAAATGCCTACATGCAGGTGCCTCAGAATGTCAAATTCTAGCTTATCTGTTATAAGCAAGTAATCACTTTTGCACTTGTCTTTCCATGAGGTCTTTAATGTGATATAATCTGCTAACAAGATACATTAACATATCAATCAATCCCTGTCTGATCTCACTGTCAGCACTCAGAATAAAGTTTACTGTCAGTCCGTTTGCTACCCACACACACAGTATTGAAGTATTATTTTAAAAGCTAGTAAATGATATGTGTATAGACCCAGTCCCCGGTACAGTCCCAGTCCCCGGTACCCCAGCCCGGTATAGGCCCAGTCCCCGGTACCCCAGCCCGGTATAGTCCCAGTCCCCGGTCTCCCAGCCCGGTGTAGGCCCAGTCCCCGGTACCCCAGCCCGGTATAGTCCCAGTCCCCGGTCTCCCAGCCCGGTCTAGTCCCAGTCCCCGGTACCCCAGCCCGGTATAGTCCCAGTCCCCGGTACCCCAGCCCGGTATAGTCCCAGTCCCCGGTACCCCAGCCCGGTATAGTCCCAGTCCCCGGTACCCCAGCCCGGTATAGTCCCAGTCCCCGGTACCCCAGCCCGGTATAGTCCCAGTCCCCGGTCTCCCAGCCCGGTCTAGTCCCAGTCCCCGGTACCCCAGCCCGGTATAGTCCCAGTCCCCGGTACCCCAGCCCGGTATAGTCCCAGTCCCCGGTACCCCAGCCCGGTATAGTCCCAGTCCCCGGTACCCCAGCCCGGTATAGTCCCAGTCCCCGGTACCCCAGCCCGGTATAGTCCCAGTCCCCGGTACCCCAGCCCGGTGTAGACCCAGTCCCCGGTATAGTCCCAGCCCGGTGTAGACCCAGTCCCCGGTATAGTCCCAGTCCCCGGTACCCCAGCCCGGTATAGTCCCAGTCCCCGGTACCCCAGCCCGGTATAGGCCCAGTCCCCGGTACCCCAGCCCGGTATAGTCCCAGTCCCCGGTACCCCAGCCCGGTATAGGCCCAGTCCCCGGTACCCCAGCCCGGTATAGGCCCAGTCCCCGGTACCCCAGCCCGGTATAGGCCCAGTCCCCGGTACCCCAGCCCGGTATAGGCCCAGTCCCCGGTACCCCAGCCCGGTATAGGCCCAGTCCCCGGTCTCTGGTACTCTCTTCCCCCGGCTCTTACCGTGTCCTTCTCGGCCCTGAGCTCGCCGATCTCCCGCTCCCGGTCCTGGATCCGCTGCTGTTGCTGCTCGATGAGGTCCAGCTGGAGGAGGACGATCTGTTTGAGGCAGGCCCCGGTTCCCGCTCCCCCTCTCAGCGGCGGCGGCCTCCAGCGGGGAGGACCGGGGGCCGAGCTGTTGGTGGCCGGGGCCTGCCCTTGCCCGGTGGCCGCCGTTGTAGCCGCCCCGGCCCCGGTTACCGCCGCTCCGGCAGCTCCACCGGCCCCTTTGTCCGCCAGTGCCCCCGCCTCGCTGCCGAGCTTGCCGCACGGATCGCTGGGCCCGGCCTGCCGCTTCCCCCGCTCCCCTGCCCGGTGCTCGCACTGCGGCCTAGTCCAACCCGCAAGCCCCGCGCTTTCCGGAGGCTCTTCCCCCGGCGAGGGGTCGTCGGGCCTCGGGCGATACGCGCTGGATCTCATGCTCATAACGCCTCCTCGGGCCCGGCATCCTCCTGCTGCCTCGACTGAGGGGAGGAGGCCGCGGCCCCCCGGGCTCAGAGTACGGAGAACCGAGGAGGAGGATCCACCACAAGATGGCGACCGGGGCAGCCGAGGGTGGCTTTCTACAGAGAGGAGGGAAGGTCCCAGCTCAGAGCATGGGCCCCGCCGGGCCGGCCCTGGACAGCCGAGTAACACAGCATTAATGGGCACTGCTGGGGTGTCAGGGCCGGGAGACCGCGGGGAGATCCGAAACTCTGGATAAAATGGACAAACTGTGTATAAAATAAATAAATAAACAATAAATAAACCTGTAATGGGGCTTATTCACTAAACAACAACTTGTAGCGAATTGAAATACAAACATACAAAATGAAGACCTGCACTCAAACTCCCACTACTCCTGGGCAGCGGCAATGACCACAGTACACGTCAGCCCCCAATACATACTGTAAAAAAAAAAAACGAAGAAATCCAAAATGGTAAAATGTAGGGAAATTAGGATTTGTAACCTATTATTTTTATTCATAAAAGCGCCAACATATTCCGCAGCGCTGTACAACTGTGTAGTCGGAATTTACCCGATTTTGCCCACGTTTTGTAATACTGAATTGTTTAAAAAGGTTTCATTTGTGTGGAAAAAACCCAAAAATTTACAACTCCATTTTTAGTGAATAACACTGACAAAACTTAACTGGGTTATTCAATAAAGTGAGAATTCCAAGCTAGTTTAAAAATATAAGGCTGAAACAGCCAGACTGAAAGCATAGATAAGTTAGGGAATTCCAGTTCAGCTATTTTGCCCTTATATTTGAAATTCACTTTGAATTCTCACTTTAGTGCATATCCCTATAAAATCGTATATTCTTGAAGTTCATTTGATAGAAAGGTAAATATAGCAATAAAACTAAAAAAAGAACGAATGGTTACCCCAGTTTGAAATAAATTAAGATGTATTTCTATCTAATTACATAATAATTAATTTGACCGTTTGGATGCCAGAGGTGTGTCTAACATAATTCTTTGGAATGTATTTGGCAATAAATAGTATACCTGATGAAATGTATTAGGTCTATATTCAGACAAACATTTTAAAGGGACACTCTAAGCACCATAACTACTACAGGCGTTCTGTAGTGGTTGTAGAGCTAAAAGTCCCCAAGTAGCATTCCAGGGTAAACTCGTACTATTTACAAATGGTTTGACACTTACCTGGCTCTTTGTGTAGCTAAAGCATACCAACATTGCCCATCATTAACTGGCTGAGGGGTGTCAGCTGACACTCAACCAATAAATAATGCCCAAATTTGGTATGCTAATGCAGACATATCACCTTCAGCAGGTAGGCGGAATGACCACAGGCATCCAACAGAGCCGAGTAGATGTAAAACTTTTTGTAAATGGCTTGATTACTTGCCCAGGGGCACCAGGGGACTCCCAGCGCCATAACCACTACAGTTCAGTGTATAGAGTGTCATAAAGTATTCACTCAGTACAGTTGCACACCATTCATGAACTAATCGAGTGGTGATTCATCATAACAATACAATTTCTATCTTTTTAGCTCTTTTACATTTTAAAAATATGTACGGGGGGGGCGGAGCTAGCGCTCAACAGCAACGGTCGCAATCTCCCTGAGCTCCGACAAAGCGGCAAAAAACGCCTAAAACCAGCTGAAATACGGGGTGTATACCCCCTCCAATAAGCACCAGACGATACCACAAACGATGGGGAGGAAGACCAAAAAACCCCGACCAGATAGACCCAGATTCTGCGCCGATATCGGCGACCTCCTGAGAGGGCCGCATGGAGCAGGTCGAACTGACATGGCGGCGGACCTGGAGGATTTCTCTGATGAATCAGAAGACTACTCCCTTCACAATCTGGGGGAGCAGGGAATACAGCCTCCAAAACCTGCCCAGTCAGCAGCCAAAGGGTCAGCACCGCTCACCACAGAAATACTCACCGGCCTCCTGGTGGACCTCCGTCAAAGTCTGTCATCTGAAATCTCACAGGTTAGAGAGGACCTTAAGGGATTCAATGAGCGCCTAAATGCAGTCGAACAGACCACCACAACACATACAGCCCAAATCCTGGAGCTACAGACCCAGATTGACACCCTCACCACGGCTCACAACACTCTAAGCCACCACCTTGCAGCCATGGAGGATAGAAGAAGGTGGAAACACCTGAAAATCAGGGGTCTCACAGACAATATCACCCAGGCAGAATTACCACACTGCCTGCGCAGGCTCTTCACAGCCCTTCTCTCTCCCAAACAAGCCAGGGGCATTACACTGGATGGGATGTTTCGGCTCCCCAGGCCTCCCTCAGCCACTGCCTCCAACACCAGCGACATACTGGTCAAATTTCAAAATGGCCAGGACAAGGCAGCCGTTATGAGTGCAGTGCGAGGCAAACCCCCGTTCCGGTTCGAGGAGATGGAAATCACCTTCTATTCTGATCTCTCCCGCCAGACCCTACAGTGGCGAAAAACACTACGTCCCCTCACATCCATATTATCGTCGAAGGGACTCAAATACCGCTGGGGCCCAACACGAGCGCTACTCATCCAGCATCAGAACACAGAGATCAGGGTGACTGAGGCATCGGAGATCGAGGCAACTCTGACCACACTGGGTTTGAACCGCACTGCAATGGCTGCACCGACAGCTTGGGACCCGGCTAACGCTATCCCGTTCATCCCGGCGAGTAGGAGTTTACCCAGCCGAGCAAATACTTGACTCTGGAGACTATCTTCTCTGTTTATTTTTATTTTTGTTTATTTTAGTTTAAATCTTGTTTCCTCACCTATTACGACATACGGGCCTCATGGGGCCAGCATCTTACAGATGCACAGTTAGCACAGTATAAGGTTTTTTAGTTGTTATTGTATTTTCCTATACTCAGACAACACTTAAATGCTACGCATCTACATATACAACGCAAGCAGGGAAGGACCGTAACCATCTTTCCCACCAGACAAGCCTAAATGAGCCGCGACCGGGATTAACCCGGGAACACAGGCTCCCTAAAGACCACCAACCCCCCCCCCAGCTCCACGCTAGTATCCACTAACACCCACTCAACCATGTGGAGTTGCACTCCTACAGCGTCCTGCCCGCTCTAGAGACGCACTACTTCTCACTCATTTTTGCTAATGTACGGCCATGCATGCCCTAGATATATATTTCCACTACCACTGGAGGCAAGTATATGGCAGTAACACGCTACATTACAATAAAAATAAAAACCGCAGGCTACATTGATATCCTACCAACTGCATGTAAATGGTTAACCGCAATGTTATGCTTTATTGAATATGTCATACACAATGTCTATCACAAGTTGACTGCGAAAAAATAAAGAATTAAAAAAAAAAAAAAAAAAAATATGTACGGTAGCTTTGTACGGTAGCTCTTCAACTCTTGTCTTTGTCAACACAATTTTTTGTGTAGGGTTAAGGTTTATGTAGTTTTGAATTAGCATCAGTGTAGGGTTAGGGGTGTCGTACGGTTCGTGTTCATGTACAATTAGGGATAGTGTGGGGATACTGTAGTCACCAGAACAACAACCACATAACCCTGCAGGTTTTTATAAAGTAAACACTGCCTTTTCAGTGAAAAGGCAGTGTTTGCATTGCTCCTTTGGAACACCTTCAGTGGCAGTCACTCAGACGGCCTTTAGAGATTTTTCCTAAACGCTGATTGTTGAATTCTATAAGAAAGCAATGGATTGTAAAATTTGATTATCTCAGCCACAGAGGCAGGGTCAGTCGCGGCAAGACCGGTACGGCACTGGAAAATAGGGAAGTAAAATCACTTTTTTAATGGGCGAAAAGGGGGCGGTTACCTAAATAGTGATGTTACAACCATAGTGTCAGGAATACATGTTATCGTGTAACTTTAAGTTGTAGTCTCAGCATACCAAATTTCGAGAAGGTTTAGCTTTAAAACAATAATTAACTCCTTGAAAAATGTGTCCCATAACTATTAAAATCAATAGTAATCCTAGAAATATGAAGCATTTAACAATCATGACTAATAATTAAACCGATTTTGAGCACCTTTTTGTTAATTGCACTTGATGCATAAACTTTATTATAGGCAAAACTGTAAAAAAAAGTTCTTTTGGTTTTTCCTATTTTTTTTTTTAACATTACATTCATACTTGATGTGTTCAAAGCAAACAATTTATATCCCTTAATAAGATAATATATATGGATGCACTTACTGGGTTACGCCAACCTTTTTTTTTTTTTTTGTGAACATTTATTTTACTCAATAAGGCCGTAATTACTGACTTGTTACACAGAGAAGCATTTGATTGGACCATTTAACCAGGGGCAGACAGGAAAGCTCTGTTTGTCGGTCGTCAACAGGCTGTGCACGCTGATGTCAGTCATATTTTTGTGCAATGATTCAAACAGAAAAGTTGCATATACAGACTTGTACCACCATGACCACTTCTAAAAGCAGAAGGTGTCACGGCAGTTGGAGTAACCCTTTAAAAAGAAACCTTTATTATATATAGGTGGAATAAACACTTGGCCTAAATTCTAGGTTTGGTTTTGGTTCAGAAGTACAATTATTTATTTAGCACCAGCATACTGCGCAGCACTATGAAAAGAAAATATTGATAAACCGCACGAGAAAAAACGCAGACACCTAATTTGGATTACACATACGTATGTACATACATATAGTTGATAGAATTCTCCGTGTGCACAGTAATATTAAGATTGAATTTATTTTAACAAAATAAAAATAATATACAATGACAAGCAGATGTTTAGTAGGTATGCCAAAAACACAATCACGCCTTACCGAGCTACTAAAAGCTCTAGAAGGGACAGTACAGACGCAAAACAAGAGAAAAATTGTAACAAAACACATTTAACATGCAGAGACAGTAGGTGTTGAGGGCCCTGTCCAAACGAGCGTACAATCCTAAAGTTAGATAACTGCCTCAGGAGACTGAATACACTATAACCACTTCAATGATAAATTAGAGCTAAATTAAATACTAAATAAAAAAATTAATAAATTATTTCAGCTGTTGAGTTACTTTTGGTCACTTTTTCACTCTAATGTTTATATTATGCTGGCGTAAACAGGTTTGTAAAATAGCTTGGTGACTAAATATCCGAGAGCGATGGATTTGCTTTCACAGAATATCGAGTGTATTTGCAAATATTTCTTGCACGTTGAATACACAGAATTGCTGCATGCCTTTTGTACACTGATGTCTAAACATGTGACATATCTGTATTGGTTAATGGGATAT